ATGGGGGAGGAAAAGCAAATGAGAGGAATTACTTTCACACTTCTGCTTCCCAGCCTCTGGCTTCCTGGCTGCTTGGCCTCCTGCAGGCCCTTTTATCTCTCAGGCTGTTTCTTCTTTAAACTGAGGTGGAGAGCTCAGCCATCTGGTGCACACTGAGCAAGGCAGGGCACCTGGCAGTGCAGGGGGTGCCCAGCGCAGGCCAGGCCTGGTGTGCAGAGGACAATGGACTCCTGTTGGGTTGACACCCTTCTTCCCTCTTACTGATAAGGGCTGGGTGGTAACATGCAGGTTGTGTTAGGTGTTGCCATGGCCAGTGGATTTGGTTTTATTTTGTTGTATTTTTAATGAAGTTCTTATACTGGCTTTATGATAAAGAAGTGGCAGGAAGCTCCCCCACCCCTTGGGCTGCAGTGCCCATCTCCCAGAGAGAAGGGAAGGGGCCTCCCCTGAGATGTGGGCAAGTGGGCAAGCGTCTGTATTGTGGTGGCATAGCCTCAGGGAAGGGGGCACTGGGACATGTGAGTGGGGATTCTGGAGGCCAGGGTGAGGTGTGAGCCCTTGAGTCAGCCAGCTGTGGGGTGTCCGGGATCGTGCTTTGATCCTGACCCCTGGCAGGCAGTTCTCTGTGCTACACAAGCTAAGGACCTTCCTTTGTGGTCACCTCTTTGGTCCCTCAGGTATCAGCTGGTTGTTTGGCCCTGGCTAAGTCCCCCAGAACAGCTCCCCCACCCCTTGGGCTGCAGTGTCCATCTCCCAGGTCCTGGCCAGGCAACACCCTGCAGAGCAGACCAGGACCGAGCCCACTTCTCCTTGGCTGTCTTTCAGGAAGACGATGCTCAATGACCTTCTGCGGTTCGATGTGAAAGACTGCTCCTGGTGCAGGTGGGTGGCCTCCCGAGCTCTAGGGCCCTGCTCTTTCTCCTAGAACACAGTACCACTGTGTTGGGTCCTGATTGTCAGTGGAGTCACTCCTGGAAAAGTAGAGAGAAACTTCAAGGAGGTGATAGCAGCATCCCCTGGTATTCCACACCCAGCACCTCTCTTAATGTTCCCTCCATCTCTTGGTTTCTTGTCCAGTCCATTACTGAGACTGATTATTCCGAATCCCATTAATTATGGCATCTGTTTCATCTGGTTGTGGGTCCTCAAATTCTGCCTTAGGATCGCCCTTCAGTGACCTGTCTCCCAGGCCAGAGGCTGCTGTGGAAGCTGACATGGGGGGCCACCAGATGGTGGGTCCTTCTAGGATTGACTGCTGCTGCAGAGGCTCCTTTCCCCTCCCTGCCCCATGGGGCCCATCCTCTGCCAGAAGATGTCACACAGGCAGTGGGCATGGGCCCTGGCCTCCCTCCTGCAGATGGCCCTCCCCAGCTGTGTAGCCTTGGACGAGACACCTGCCCTCTCTGAGCACTGTGTATTTGTGCCTTGCAGCCTAGCCCCTGCCCAGGAGCAGCTCGCAGCTGACAAGAAGTGGATCCTGGGATTAGGAAATACTAGGCTTCTTCCTGAGCTCTGCCATCTGCTCATGCAGGAGCTCAGATTCACTGAGCCTCTTGGGTGCCACTCTCTGTGTAGGAGCTCTGTGCACAGCCCTCTCTATCCCTGGCAGCCCTCTGGGGTGGGGTCTCACTGCCCCGCTTTGATGGAGAAGGATGTCCCGTTTCAAGACCCACAGCTGATGAACCTAGCATGCCGGGGTAGCATCACTCCACGCCACCCACTTTCTTCCCAGGAGACCCAGGTCATGCTGGGATTGCCGCAGAAATTTATATGCTTTTTCTCTCACACTTTATTTTAAAATGTGGCCAATAGTTATAGATTTATGTTAAAAGTCACTCTGAAGACTTCACAATACTTTGTTTAAAATTGCTTGAATATGAAACTGAAAAGAAGCAGCTGTGGGAAAGCAGTATAAATGGGTTTTTAATTCAGCAAAATTTGTGGACCATGCTTGCTGCAGAATGCAGTGCAGCTGAGTGTGGGGATAACGATGACTCTAGAGCAGCATCGTTAGAAGACCTAGTCACAGTCTGTTGTTCAGCTGAAGAAGCAGATTATAGAATACCTACCACGTGATTCCATTTTTAAAAATCAATCAGAGGCACAATATGCATAGGAAGGTGTGGAGGAGACCTCCAGGTGTGGACAGTAGTTTCTGGCAAAGGATTATACGTAAATCTCAGTGCTGTTTTTTTTGGGTGGGGTGGGGTGGGGGATTTCGTATTGACAAATTTCTAAAAAGTTTCTATAACGACACTGGTATTGCCTTCAATATGCAAAAAAAAAGGAAATGTGGGATGGCAGGGGCTGCCCCGTGCTGCATTGACTACATGCTGACCCCTGCTGACACCCACTGCCCCTTATTCCTCTGCCAGGGCCTTCACCACTGGAACCCCACCAGCCCCCCGCTACCACCACTCCGCCGTGGTCTACGGGAGCAGCATGTTCGTCTTTGGTGAGCTGCCGCTCACGCCCCCCTGCCAAACCTCAGACCCACGTGCTGTGCTTGGCCAGACTCTTTCTATCCACCCCTTGGCCTGATCTTTTGGGGTTGGAATTGTCTGCCTCTGACCGGGCTGGAAGGTGGCTCCCCCTCCCCACCAGGGGCAGAGAATGGGGGTCCTGCTGATCTCTGTGCCACCCCCGCCACCTGAGTCCAGCACAGAGGCAGGTGCTCCCAAGGTTTTCAGAGAGAGTTCTGGAATGCTTTTTCAGTGGGACCAGATTCTGACCCCACCTCCTTGAGTTTGAGGACTCTGAGATGCTGCCTTTGAGCGTGACGGTTTCTCATTCTTTACCTAGGGGGCTACACTGGGGACATTTATTCCAATTCTAACTTGAAGAATAAAAACGACCTCTTTGAATACAAGTTTGCAACTGGCCAGTGGACGGAGTGGAAAATCGAAGGACGGTGAGAGATTGCTGAAACCTTCATGGGTTATTCTGATGGCTCTCTGGCCCCGTACCATTACAGATAGAGAGCCTCAAAGAAGCCTGCCAGCTGGGAGTTGGTGCTAACTTCTAGCTGCGCCTGGTTGCCTTCTCCCAGCTCTTAGATTGCCTCTTTTCAGAAAGTAGGAAAGTAGGAGGGACCGCATATCCTGTGGTGGGCACTTCAATGGTCCTGCCTTGTGAGCACCCCCTCTGATATTTCAGTGGCAGCTGAGAGAGGGCTCTGTGCCCTGTGGACATTTAAGTGTCTTTTCAGTGGCTTGGTGTCTCATAAGCTTAGCCCCCGCTGCTCTTGCTTATGCCTCAGCTGGAGTCCCTGGAGTCCCAGTGTCAGCAGATGAGGACACGGCAACCCCAGGGCCCATCGAGACTTGCAGGCTGTGGCCCTCAGACTGGCTTTCTGGGGCTACAAGGCTCGGATCTGTGCTGGGGCGGGAGGACCTCACTCTTTC